TTTAGTAAATCGGATGACCAAGATATATTAAAATTCAAATCAACTTGTTTCGTTGACAAATTCAAATCAAATGAAATACGAAATTTTGACACAAGGCCTAAATGACATTTGAGTAGAGGTGATTGTGTTGAAATAACGAATAACGGTTCCAACCGTTACAATACATATTCAAAAAAATATATTTTTAAATGATGATTTTATGTACCCCTTAAATAATAATATAGGCACCCACACCTAAAATTTCTTGATCTGACATATTTATTACTCCGAGGCGATTTCGATTCGACTATAAATGAAAATTCAAGCATTTTCTCTCAGTCCGTATATTAAAAGATCTTGTTATATCATGTAATTATTAATTAATACCTTCATAGTTTTTCATCATAATTTAATTAAAAAACTTTTTCAAATTTTAATTAATTTTAGCCAAAAATAAATGTGATTTTAATATATATTTTATTTTCGAAAATAATTTATATTTTATAAATTACCAATTTTAACGATATGCTTTATTATACAAAGTGTTTATGTTCTATAGGAATCCGTTATAAAAGAAAGGCGTGTCCCACTCAAAATAAAAAAGTTGACACCTACTTTCGGTAAAAGCGAAAATGACAGAACTATCAAAATATTTTACATGTTTACTACTCTTACTAATTTTTAAGAAAATCAGTCCATTAGTTTTTAAGAGTGCCCCTCGTCGCTGGACACCTTATATATCTTGGTTCTTATTTTTTATATTAGAGCAACCCGGTGTCTCTGTATGTATTAACTGATCTAATAAAAAATACTTACTGAATACAATATCAGAAAATGCTACCGCACCAAGAGAAAATTATAAAAAATATCATTCGCATACGTCACCTGCCCCAAATGGTACTGAATACTACATTAGTTATTGTGTCCCCATAACTGTATGCGTATTGGTATTCGCTTACACACAAATTTATGAAACCAATATTTATTGAAATATATTTATTTTTTGTAGGGGGCGCCACTTTCTAGTACAACCACTAGTCCCCACTTCAATACCGAAGTCGAAAAATATACACACCTGATATTTTACCTAGTTGTGGGGACAGTAACTTATTTAACAATTTTGGTAAAAGTAATAACTCTAGATTAGTTAAAATTAAAAGTGCCACGAACAAATTTTTTTGCGATTTTTTTATGTAGTAATGATCATTAAAAGAAAAGAAACAACGAAGATAAAGCCAAAAAAAAGTTGTGGGGACAAGTGTGTATGTCCCCACAACATTAAATGTCCCCACAACTTTTACTGTCCCCACAGTCCTGGTTTTATTCAGGCGAAAATCCCACAAGTACGGTAAAACATACGCACACACACACACACACACACACACACACACACACACACACACACACACACACACACACACACACACACACACACACACACACACACACACACACACACACACACACACACACACACACACACACACACACACACACACACACACACACACACACACACACACACACACACACACACACACACACACACACACACACACACACACACACACACACACACACACACACACACACACACACACACACACACACACACACACACACACACACACACACACACACACACACACACACACACACACACACACACACACACACACACACACACACACACACACACACACACACACACACACACACACACACACACACACACACACACACACACACACACACACACACACACACACACACACACACACACACACACACACACACACACACACACACACACACACACACACACACACACACACACACACACACACACACACACACACACACACACACACACACACACACACACACACACACACACACACACACACACACACACACACACACACACACACACACACACACACACACACACACACACACACACACACACACACACACACACACACACACACACACACACACACACACACACACACACACACACACACACACACACACACACACACACACACACACACACACACACACACACACACACACACACACACACACACACACACACACACACACACACACACACACACACACACACACACACACACACACACACACACACACACACACACACACACACACACACACACACACACACACACACACACACACACACACACACACACACACACACACACACACACACACACACACACACACACACACACACACACACACACACACACACACACACACACACACACACACACACACACACACACACACACACACACACACACACACACACACACACACACACACACACACACACACACACACACACACACACACACACACACACACACACACACACACACACACACACACACACACACACACACACACACACACACACACACACACACACACACACACACACACACACACACACACACACACACACACACACACACACACACACACACACACACACACACACACACACACACACACACACACACACACACACACACACACACACACACACACACACACACACACACACACACACACACACACACACACACACACACACACACACACACACACACACACACACACACACACACACACACACACACACACACACACACACACACACACACACACACACACACACACACACACACACACACACACACACACACACACACACACACACACACACACACACACACACACACACACACACACACACACACACACACACACACACACACACACACACACACACACACACACAGACATCATCGCGAAAATAGTCAAAACGGATTCAGGGGACCTCAAAACGTAAAAATCCGTCGAAAACTCGAGGTCGAAAAAATCATGATTCCTATACTTTCCTTATATCTGTATACAGATAGGAAAGTAAAAATTATTCGTATTTCCAATAATAAAACTGCTATCGATCAATTACTATCTGTGTTATTGGCTAATATTCTCGATTCAAATTAATTTTCGCACGCCTGTCAATTGTCACCTATAAGTAGGATGTTTGTTTATTTTTATGTACCTATTTGTTTTGGGCGGGATTTTGTATTTATGAATTTTTAATTCTTTTTAAATAATATTCTCATTACAATAGTGTTTTTGAGTTTCATTTAGTGTTAATTTAAGTTTAGTTTTCGTACTTTCGTTAAATATAATATTTATCATGTGTATGACTTAATTTGTTGGAAATATTCATCTATTGGTTGCTACACGAACATCTAGAAATATTTTGAACTGCCGAATTGCAACGTATAGAAGTACCTTTCGGCATGTAGAAGGTGGTTGTAGTTCTTTGAAAAAACGGAAAGGATCGTAATGCATAGTGATTATTTTGCCCCGGTCTCCCCTACACGTATATTTCTATTTTATAATTTAAAACAATTACTGCAGGAATGTTGTTGGGTATGGGGTGTTAATGCACTGTGACCTAAAAGATCTATTGCTACCTCTTCTGTCGCTAATGCATCAAGAAAATAGTCTCGATGCCTATTCGCTTCGTTCGTGACAGCAGCGCTAATTCATTTATGTACTAATGGACTATTTTTGCGTATACTGACAATACAATTTTTAATAGAATTCGTAATTTAAAAGTATATATGTTAGTTTTAATAAAAGTATATTGATCTGTAAAACAAGCAAAATATTAATTTATTATTATTGTATATTTTTATCGCTTAAAATAAAAAAAATAAGAATAATAAAAATCGATAATGAAACATAGGCAGGCAACAGTATTTATGGGAAAATGTATGAGAAGTTACCTTAGTCTAATAAGTTGTCTTTGAACAATTAACCTATTCTGTCAAAATAAAAAAATACCATTAAATATTAGCGTGAAGTTAAAATGGATAAACAGAAGGATTGTTATTTATATTTTCATTTTTGTTCGAAAGAAAACAGAATGAATGATTAAAGCTGGTTGCCTATCAGTAAGTCACAAAATTGCAGTCCAGCCACATACAATAATCAAAGGTAGAAATCTAGTTCTTGCTGAACATTTAAGATTAAAGGGATGTTGAAGAACATCGTAAAATGATAATTTATTGTTTATTTAAAACCTTTCAAGTTTCTGATGTCTACCATTTCCAGTATTACTGTTATTATTACAAAAATATAGGTAATTTTTCTTCTTATTGTACACCTATCCATTTATTTCTTTTGATTTAATTTCCAGTGTGCTACTGAAAATTTTATAATTTACACTGTTTTTTTGCTAGTACTTTTACAATTTTCAACACTGCAACTCCGGTTGCTTATTGTATTGTTTTTACCTACTTGTTAAAAAAAGTAAAATGTGTACGTGTATTTGATATGCCAAAATTACAAAATATTGCCCTAAAATGCACGAATTATCCGCAACTGCGCTAGTATCGCTTTTGCTTCCCCTACCATGACTTCGCACTAAGCGAATAAGGACCCTTTCAATCCTATCTTTTCAAAGAAGTGTAGGATTTGGGGTGACTTCAAGTTAGGTACTCATTACCTACACTTTTTGGATTATCCTTGGTGATTTCAATAAACTATCACACCTACGACCTACTTAAGGTGTGAAGTAATTAATTGGTTATTTGGAATCCAAAACCAATTGAAAATTTGCAATGTCTCAAATTTGAGCATCTTCTGCATTAAAACCAATAAAAATTGGATTAAAACCTGCAAAAAAGACTGGACTACACATGTATAGAAGGGAACATTGAAATTTAAAAATAATAGCAAAAATAAAATTCTACATCTACAAAATCACCAAGTTATAAAATCAGAAAGAGGAAAGATTCAGAATGGGTTCGTTTTAGGTGATTGAAGAAGATTTACAAAATAGGAAAAATAGAGGAGAAATTATAAGGATTAACTGTCGAGCCATGAACCATCATCAAGGTTGCAGAAGTGGATGAAGGAATCTAGAAAAAATATAAGAAACAAATGCGATAGAAGGCAAATAGAAGATAAAAAAATATTTTATTTTGTTAAAACTTAATACTAAAACACATTTTTATACAGTTACATTTTGTAATATAAATTACTTTAACAGGAACTTTGACTGTTGCAATTTTACGAAAAATCACCATAATTAAAATAGTAATAAAACTGCTTTTTATTTTACAAAACAAATGAAACTTGTTTATTAAATGTAACACGTCAGGCTTACAGAATGTTAAAGGACCCCGCACCAATACTTAATGGTGAAATTGTCAGAGACCATACAGTCCCTTTTGTTTATCATTAATCTCTGATCGGTTCAGTGACGATTCCTTAGTAAGTGCACATGTGCGCTTCCCAAATGTGATTTCTTCTTTTATTCTAAAGCTGTGTACTTCCAAATTATTAGGTTACATGCCGCCACTGGATGGATTTGATCAAAAATGATTTAGTTTTTGTTTTACAACACTTTGAAGGTAATAGGAAGATATGATCCTCTCCTTTCATTTTCTTTATATTAAATATTAAATTATTTGGAATATTGTATTATTTCATTTATCAAATATTTTTTCAATAGAAAGTACCTAACTCTTGTTTGAGTTCCATAAAATTAGCGGTTTAAGAAAAATAAGCAATTTTATATGATGCTGTCAACTATATACATTCACCATTTTTGGATAATAATAAATCTTAAGAAAAATGCCTAAAATTTGTTGTAAGCTCTGCCAATTTTGAATGCACCCACAAATTCTCGTATTACGATCATTTAGTTACTACCCTGTAAAATTCAAAATTAGTTACTACCTTATAATATTCAAACTTAGAAACGATCGGCATTTTTCCTAATAATTATTAAATACAATATTGGTAATAATAATTAACTTTAATGTTTTATATAAAGAAAAAATGAGAAAAGAGAATGACCTCTTCCTATCAACTTCAAAGTGCCGCAACAAAAACTAAGTCATTTTTGAACAAACCGATCACAGATTATTTATCAGCGGAAGTTACTGCATGGTCTCTGATAACTTCATCAAATTTGACCGAAATGCAAAAACATTAAGAATTAGTGCAGGGTTCTTTAATATTAATGCTATAAAATCGTTCATGCTTGATGACCTATAATCTTGTAAAATATCACTGGGAGTGCTTTGAAATCGTATCTTCTATCCACTGTTTATAATTTCCTACTTTGACATACACTCCAGGTTTATTGGCATAGCCACAATGTTGACCCCACGATGTGATACCGTATAGCGTAAATACTCCTAAAAAAAGAAAATTAATTGCGTTCGAATCTGGAAAGTATGCGAGGGTTGATTCCCATACTCCACCCCTGACTTATTTACAGTAATTTGTCGGATTCACGATTAATGACTTCGCTTAAATCCCTTATGAATCTAAACACAAGATATAGCTTCTGATATGGCACAAACATGAACGTAGTAGTTCTAAAAAATCCACCAGAGGTCGTTACTGATAATCCTCTTTGAGCCTTAAAAGATAGACGGATCATAGGATGTTTCAACTTGTATCCAACTTTAATTCAAATACTCCAACTTCAAATAGGTATTTTTCTTTTAAATTGGCTAGGAGCGGAGAATAGAGATCAACCCTCATATAGGTTTTAAATAGGCAATCGATTCTAGTAAAAGATAGTTTCCTAAACCACATTCAGTGCCAGATTCTGTCCATTTCTCATCTCCATAGGTACATTTTAAAATATATGAAATATTTGTAGACTAGTTTGAGCTTTACCTTGGTCCAAACAAGCTAGTGGTCCTCCGCTATCACCGTCGCATGCGTCCAAACCACCATCCAAGGATCCAGCACATACCATATTTTCAGTCAAAGCATCACCGTATACATGAGGCATCTTGCAAATGTCTTGGGAATGTATGGGTATCCATGCGGCAAGCAAATCACGGGAATATGCTGAAATCAACACAGAAATCTTACTACTACTTTATTAAAATTTGCTTACATATAGGTAGGCGTAGGTACCTACTATCATTTTTAGTTGTAAAGATGAAAATTTCTTAAAATGATTTTCCACTGTTCTCACAATATTTATTTTTCGTACTACTAACTTTGTAACTCATTAAACTTATAAAAACACTGTTCAACTAGAAGTCAATTAGTTAAGTGTGTTTAACCAGGGAGGTGGGAATAGGGTTGCTAGATGATAATTTAAAAAAAAGGAGTGAGTTTAAAAAGGAGGATTTTCTATAAAAAAGGAGGATCATTCACAATCAAAAGACGTGGATCAATCTGTTTACTTTATTTTAATCATATTTAGCTGAGTTGCCAATTTTTGCAAAAAGATATTGATTTTTCAACGAATAATTATGAAAATCTTCACATGGTATGTTTTTGACTTGTCTGGTTCTTTCTTTGCTTCACTGAGTATTCTTCACTAAGTATCAGCGAGGACACTCTTCACATTCGTGGGCTTATACGAAAATAAAACTCGCTGATCTTGAACAGTTCTGAGAATCATTCAATGGTATTGGAACTCCTGGAGTAGATTGTCCACTGCACGTGCAACTTGAAATCATAATATTGGTCATCACTAGTCATCAGTATCACTAGCTGATTTCTATTTAAGAAATGCAATTAGGTCACAAAACTGCTCATGTAGGTCAATCTCTAAACCTCTGGCGCTGAAGAACTCAATGCATATAACTAAATCATCATAATTTAGGTTTTCGTTCTCTTTCCGCAACGTCATCCAATCAAAACCTTTGATATCTTCTAAGGGTTTTATCTATTCGATAAAATAAGCTTCAGAAGCCTTGTAAATATTGAAAAATTCTTAAATGAGTAATAGTCCAATAAATGGAGGACTGAAAAGATCTAAAGATGTAAAAAAATCGCTGATGAGTTCCCACGTAGCTCAATTTGTAAGTCATCGCAGGTGTTTTTAAATGAGAAAATCCTTAACGCGTTCTTGGTACCGGAAAGGGCTGAAAATAGACCCCTAAACTCTGAAAAACGGGTTTCCCGCTAATATCTGGCTTAATATGCCAATTAGAGAATTGTTGTTCAGACAAAAAATGAAGATCAGCCTCTACAAAAATGATTCCTACCAATTTTTTCGCAATGCCAATATTTTTTTGCAAAATCAGACTTCGAAAAATCCATAATTTTCATATTGAATAGATATGGTAGTTTCTTGCCGAATTTCCATTCGATGGGGTTGGAAATGCATTGATCTTCATCTTTTGGACTTTAGAGACCAATTGCAGATGGCGCCAGCACCTTTGCTCTCTCGCTAAATTACGGAGTCCGTAAATGAAAATCTCGGAAAGAATCGATTATTCGACAATTACTGGCGGATTTCACCTGATTTTTTTTTGCAAAGTAGCGCTTGGGCTCTCTCTATTGTATTAGCGAATATTCTGTGCAATTTGAGTTGCAAATTTACCAGAAAATGGCAAACATTTATTTTTCCTTGTGCCAAGGTCTTGAATCCCGTTGTTTTGGCTAAAAGCAAATAACAACTTTTAGAGCTTGGTGAATATTCACACCATACAACCATTCTAAACATTTTTCGCATTTTTGCGATTTTTTTGCAAACTTTTTTCAAAATAATATGGGTGCAGGATTTCGGAAAAAAGTCTTTGAAAAATTACATTTATTTGGAAGAATTGGTTGGATATAAAACATACATAACAACCTTTAGGGTGTGGTCAACCACTCCAAGTAATCAGAACCATATACATATTCTTCATCGTCAATGGTATTCTCGTCGCCATTTCTACCTTTCCCCCTGCCGTCCTTTCTCTCTCTTCCTCCAGCTGTATTTCTGCCTCCTCGCTTTTTAACCCTTCTGTCTCTTATTATCGCATCTCTCCTTGCTCACTCGAATAAAATTTTCTAAACCACGAGTAACATTTACACCGTCATCCACAACACCCTCCTTACAAAGAAAGCATTCTGGAACGGAATCCGCTTTCATTTCAACAACACCAAGAGCTACCAAAAAATATGTTCTGCCAGTAATAAACATAAAAAACCTTACATTCCAAAACTGCTGAAATTTCCAGCAACGAGGAAGTAAGTATTTTAGCTGGGGTAAAAGAAGGCAGCTGGATAGTGGTTGAGTATGAAGTAAAAAAAAGTAAAAAGCACTTTATCGGCCAATTTAAGCAAGACCTTGACTCGACATTACATGTGGCATTTTTAAAAAAATCGGACAAATCCAGTGGAAGGTTTATCACTTCTCTTGTACAAGACACTAATCATATAAGTGGAGATATGGTCGTGAAGATCTTAACATCACCAATATTAACGGGAACAGGAAGAAGGAAATTTTACAGCTTCAATATTCATCTCAAGTCTTTTAATTTTTAAAGTGTCAAAACAAATCAAATTTTGTGTTCTCTTTACCAAAGAATATTTTTTTAATTTTTTTGTAACTTAGGATAATATTATTTGCAAACGTTTGGTTACAACTACGGAATAAATGTTTACTTTTTTAAAATTTATTTTGGGTGTCCCAAAAAGCCCACAATCAATATTGTGAATTCTAACGCAATTTCCTATTAGTCCCAAATAACCCCACCCTAATTTGGGACAGCTATAAAAGAAAAAAATTTAGCCTCCCTCTGTAATGGAGGAGGCTCATTGTTTTACATAAGAGAGATACACCTACTACCTTTCCAAATATACAGTGTGTCTACTTAAGTTGGAACCATATGGAAAACATTTTTATTATTGATTTTAAGAAAAAAGTTATTCTTGATAAAAAGTCCTGCATGATCCAAAACCTAAAATACAGTCTTCACATATCAAATTTTTCAAGCCGTATACGAGGTTTGTCAAAAAATATGAATTTTGCTCAAGAGTAAAGTACGTTTATTTTTGACAAAATCGAAAATTTTCATTAAGAAAAGTTGATTAGAATTGAATATTACATTTAAATATGCAATTACACCGATCTATCTGAAAAAACAGATTCTCTTATTTTTTATAAATTGTAAATATCTGAAAACGTTATAAATTACGTTATCTACTATAAACATGATACGCTTTCCTTTTGTTGATGTTTGTGAAGAATTTAGCAAATTTCTTAATGAAAATTTTCGATTTTGTAAAAAAATAAACGTACTTTACTCTTGAGCAAAATTCATATTTTTTGACAAACTTCGTATACGGCTTGAAAAATTTGATATCTGATGACTGTATTTTAAGTTTTGGGTCATGCAGGACTTTTTATCAAGAATAACTTTTTTTCCTAAAATCAATAATAAAAATGTTTTCCATATGGTTCCAACTTGAGTAGACACACTGTATATAAACAAGGTGGATAATGAGTACATGTTTGAAGTACCAGCAAAAAATGTTCCAAATTTGTCCCAATTAACCCCGTTCTACGGTAACAAACATTTTTCTTGTTAAGTTCGCCCTTCATTCCATGGAATTTTACATGCATGGATATTTTTGAGAGTCATTGAAGTAGAATGTTGAAAATAAATTGGAAGATGAGCCTGCTGCACGTATCGTCTTTTTATGCTTTTTCTTAGCTACGTGCCTTTCTCATAGCTACGGGCCTTTCTCATAGCTACGGGCCTTTCTAATGCCATATTTCCCTTGCTTACATCTACATGACAGGCGCAAATGGAACATATTATGGCAGTCTCAGAATAACGGGAGGACAGGGGGACAAATTATGGAAAAGAAGGACATGTCTTCCGTTTGGGTACCATCTGGCAACCCTAGGTGGGAAGGGATGGAGACTACATCACGTGATATAAGTAACACCACTTTCACCATAATGCTAATGGTATGAAAGTTTAACATTTTTATGTGTAGCTGTCATTAGGTATATTGTATATTTGATTATAATTAGGCATTCCAAACTGAATGGCTACTAGTGGGTTCTGACGGGTTATGATATGGCAAAATTATGGCAACCCTGTAGGCCTGGTGATTTGATAAGGTCAATGAAATAGATAGTTACATAGATTGATCATCCATATTTTTCAAAATAAACATAAGCTTATGCCTTGAAGTAAAAATGTAAGCAATTATTTTTTTTAAATATCTAAAGGTTAAAAATTGGTTTTAAAACACATTTTTGTTAAACCGATTCAAATTAATAAATATTTGCCAGGCAATATGGCCGCTCGTAAACGACCAGCTTTGAGCAATCTATATAACTATATATGTATCATTGACCCTGTTAATGACAACATGACAACAGGGTTGCCATATCTAAACTGTCATTACCCACTGGTAGCCATTTGGACAGGTCGTTGGAATGCCTAATATATTGCAATGTGCAACATTAAGTTATTCTAGTATATCTGATGTAGATTAGATTAAACCTTCAGGAATAACATATCATAGATAAGTGTATAAAAAACATGTCCGTACTCTAGAAAATTGGGATTTTTATTAGCAGGAAAAAGCAATGACTTTTTAAAATATTAAAATTTTTTTTAATTTTTTTTTGAAAAATTATTTTTTATGAATAAAATAAATATTTTTTAATATTTAGGACTTAATTTGTTTACGTTATCCTTCCTATCCCCACTGCTAGTTTGAAATAAGCTCCGCCTTGTGGTGCTATTTACGAAGTACACGGTATACGACGATAAACTTGTATGACATCTCCATCCCTTCCCAATTCCATGTGTTTGGCAGTTCGTAAAATATAAATTTTAAAACGAATTTTTCTAAAAGTTGTAATGTTGCTAGTGTAAAAGTCTTAAATTTGAATTTCCCACCCGGAAATATCCCTGACACTTTACGGTAGACAGTCCTTTGTGATTGTCCATGCGTTTATTGATGTACACGATGTAAGAAAGTTTTTTTTTGTTAGTTGCATGTTTGAGAAATAAAGTTATTTTCAAATAAAACCCGATTATTTATAAGAAAAACTGTTAGCCCTCCCTACACTAATAGTACAGTTTACAAACCGAAACCCGTACAAAAATAACTATTTTTACACTAGGACAGGAAGAGAAACTTTCTTGACATTGACGTAGACGTCATAAATAAACTAGTTACAAAGTAGTATGTAGAAAAAATGTATTTGGCAATGAAAAATTGTGAAAGATAATTATATAAAACATTCTGAAAATAAAATGATACTTTATAATGGTTATACTACTCATTCTTACCTGAAACTCCACTTTTAATAGAACCGAATCCAGATATGGTACAGTTCAATTCCTTACTATAATCCGCATCACTGTCAGCCAAACAAATTGGTTGAATATCGTCATTTAGTACGAATCCTGTACCTTTAACTTTAATTAGAGCTATATCGTTGTTTAATTTATGTCCTTTTCTGAACTTTTCGTGTATAAAGAACTCGTCTATATATTTTTGTTGTTCAGTTCCTTCATTTTCGTCAGTATTATACTCTCCCGCCACTATTATGTAAGCACCCTTTGTATAGCCCTGTAGACAGTGAGCTGCTGTAAGGACCCATTGGCTAGAAATTATTATCGCACCGCACCAATGGGCCGATTTGTCTTTTACTCGAACTTTTAAAGCAGCCTACAAAATAAAATTTTAAACAATAATAGTTCATAGATAAACTACATAACTAGTTCACAACTAATCGTAATTCATAGGAAAAACCGAAAAAGAGAAAACCATAAACATACTTATTATTTAGCTGAACTTTTCATACACAAGTCCAGACCCGGATTTAGATTTTTAATTCTCTTTTTGAGTTTCTTTAAACAAACGTTATTCGAAAAAGATGTTTTTTTAAACGACCAAATATCTTGAATGACAACAAATTAATTTGAATGACAATTCTAATCTAAAACAAGTATATAAGATATTAGATTAATTTTATTCTGTTACATACAAATAATCAAAATATTGCAATAGCAAGAAATGTCAGATTTGTTAACACAACTAGGGTTTGCCACCTGCTTTTTCAAACAAATTGTCCTTGTGACTTTTTAAACCTTTTAGAAGCTCATCGTCAGAAAGGACCGGGTTTATAAAAATTTAAGCTGGTGAGGACCTTTCTTTTTAGAAGCTCGCCAGAAAGACCTGGTTTTTAGAAATTTTCCTTTTGTAAATCTTGCAACCCTACCTTTATTCACTTTTCGAAAAGGTGGCAACCCTAAGCACAACCGAAAAAATCGACCATGTGCATAACGATTATAATTCATTTTGACAATTTAAATGTTATCAAACCCCAAAATTATTTTTGATACTAACCTGCCATGGATAGTCTCCTTTTCTAGCCACACCACCACCAATAACTCTAGCATGGATCAAATCATGGACGACAAACTGATTATCTTTCCTAAAACCACACTTTGTTGGCAAGCCTGTTTCAATGGTGGTGGGTAGATTTGAGTGTCTTTCGATTTTGACTTCTTGTACATTGTTGGAACAAATTACACCAACGTCTTCGCTATGTTCACAATTGTGTTCGCCCCAATTCCAGTGCGTACATTGGTGCAGTTCAGTTTCGTTGCCGAAACAGGATACTTGGTCCAACCAAATTGGACCAACACCTTTAAATAATCATGTGTGTAGATAAAATGGTTCGACAAAGCACAGTTATTTTAAAACTAGTAGGGGAAGGTTGTCTAAAATGGGATACGTGGGTAAAATGGGATAGTACTAAATATGGCAACATCGTGCCATGACGTCAGAATTGTGTGCGTCGCTAAGATAAAGGCTAACGACAATGAGAGAAATTCATTAGGACAACATCGGCTAATGAAGTGAATGGTTTTCATTTTTTTATGCCAGAATTGTAAATTTTTAATGTTATATCTTAAGACCTGAATGCTAGCAGTAGTAATTAATATATCAATCGTTTCCAGTGATCTTTGTGTAAAGTATGGTCTTGGTTTTCATTGTTCTTCTAGCATTTGCTTAAAAAGTGACAACAAAAAATTTGAGGTTAGTTTAAATACTTTAAATCAGGTGTGGGTAAAATGGGAAATTAGTATTGTGGGTAAAATGGGGTATCCCGTTTTACCTAAATCAAATGAGCGTAGTTTATTTTATTCTATTTTTTTTAGATTCCACACGTTTACAAAAGAAAGACTGATCGGCAATTGTGGTCCGAGGAGTCATTACCAAAATTTACTGTAGAGAGGAGATTTAAGGAGAAGAACAAACATGCCACTGGTTCTTCTAAATCGCTTGGGAGTAGAAAGGTTACATTTCCAATTGAATTGGAACAATAGTTAGTCGAGTATATTAAGAACATGGAAGGTATGCCGTTTGGATTAACAACAAGAGGTCTAAGAAGCCTTGCTTATCAGCTTGCTATAAAAAATAATATTGTTCATTACTTTAATAACACAAAACAAATAGCTGGATGGCATTAGCTTCGTTCTTTTTTAAAACGACACAATCTGTCAATTCGATTACCTGAAGCTACCTCTGCTGCACGAGCTAGGGGTTTTAACAAAGAAGCAGTGTCATCATTTTTCAATAGTCTTGAGCTTCTTCAAGAAAAAAATAACTTTTCTCCGGCCAGGGTATTCAATGTGGATGAAACAGGCATAAATACGGTTCAGGGTCGTCCTTCAAAAGTTATTGCATTTCGAGATCAGAAACAAGTGAGTACCCTGACGTCTGCCGAACGTGGGGAGCTGTCTACAGCCGTAATTTGCATGAGTGCAAGTGGAATATTTGTCCCGCCTATGTAAATTATTCCTAGAGTTCGTATGAAGCCACAGTTTCTTGAGGGTGTTCCTCCAGGAACATTAACAGTTGCTCATAAATCTGGTTGGATGCAATTGGATCTATTTGATAAATGGTTTAATCATTTTATCTCTTACATACAAGCATCAAGAAGTAATCCAGCATTACTTATTCTCGATGGTCATATAACACATACGCAAAATATTTCTATCATAGATAAAGCAAGAGAAAATGGTGTCACAAATTTATGTCTCCCACCACACTGTAGTCATCGACTCCAGCCTTTGGATGTCTCATTTATGGCCCCTCTAAGCACCTTTTATTCACAAGAAATGGAGATTTGGCATAGAAATTACCCAGGGCGATGCATCACTGTAAGCGAAGTTCCTTCTATATTTGGCAGAGCATATCTTCGTGCTTCTGCTCCGATAAATGCTATTAATGCATTTGAAAAAACTGGACTGTACTCAGTAAACCGCACTGTATTTACCGAGGATATGTTTATTGCAACACTTCCAACAGACAAACCACAAGAACAGGATGATGTCGTACCATCTTCTTCCGATTCCGAAGATGATCCACCCGAACATAACGCTAATTCGGAAGGTACGAAATTGAAACTAATAGAGAATCTACACCCGAAAATGACCCTAATAGAGAATCTCTACCTAAACAAATAATGGTTCTTCCAAAGAAATATTCTGAGGTTGCCAAAAGAAGTGCTTTACATGATATGCCATCCACGAGCAAAGATATAACTTTGATAAGTACTGAACAAATTGCTCCTTATCCCAAAGTTCGTAAGCTTGATATTCGAAAAGCTACAAATAGAAAAAAAGGAAAAGCTATCATTCTTACGAGCACTCCTTATAAGTAAGAATTAGAAAACTCTTTAAAGGAAAGAAATAAAAAACGGTAATGTTAAGAAGATAGCTTTAAAAACAAACATCAACTTACTGAATGAAGAAAAATCTAAAAAGCCTTTAATCAAAACGAAAAAATTACAAAAAAAGAGCATTGAATCATCAGAAAGCGATGATGATGCGGAATGCTTTTACTGCAACAACAGGTATTCAAAAGATCGACGTGGCGAAGGATGGATACAATGTGTTAGTTGTAAAAATTGGGTACATGATACCTGTGCAGGAGTCGAAGATAATAAAGATTTCTTTGTTTGCGATTTATGTCGCAACTGATATTTCAAAATTTGTTCTTATTACGTTACACAAATTACTTTTGATTTACCTACTTTTGGTATTAAAACATTTTTCGCCATTTTTAACATTAATTTTTTTTATTCCATTTTACCTCAACCATAGTTCCCATTTTACCCGCACTATGCGGTGGGTAAAATGGGAAATTAATACTATTTTTTCGTGTGCAAAATAATACCATTATTTTTAAATTTTCAATTATTAGCTTAAATTATAACATTCCAAACACGTCGTTTTTAATTATGTCAAAATATGAACCACTAAATACGAAAACTTTTGCTTTTATAATTTTTGAAACCTTAGGTATCCCATTTTAGACAACCTTCCCCTAATATGTGAGAAGAATAGGATTAAAAATGAACTGTGATAAGGCGAACATAATACCACTCCAAATAGATAATGGTCTAATATAGGAGCAGTGCTAAAGTTAACGGAGTACTTCTTGTATTGCCAACGTTCTGCAATTGTCATTCGTAAAGTTGACGTTTTTAACATATAATTCAGTTGACAGTTCGATTTTAAACAGGTCAAGCGGTACGGGCAAAATTAATTCTGTGGAATAGAGACTCGTAGACAGAAAAACGTTTATTGTCACGATCAAGTGTTAATTTGTTTACCTGCTCCAAAGTAAGCCTCTTTTTTGACAGCAACGCTTCCTTTATAACCTAAAAATTTGCACACAACTTTGCCGGCATCTTCATTGAAATCATCATCACAAATAGAGCCCCAGATTCCGTTATGTTTAATTTCGATTCGACCTTCGGCTGGATGAGAACCGCCTATTAAACGGAGTTCGGTCGGGGCCTGAAAAATAACAGTTAATATATGCATTTAGGGAATACAGTCGTTGCGTCGTTTTCAAATTATTCGATATAATTTTTAAAATGTGAAATAAAAACTAGTTATTCGCTCCGTGCGCGATATCAGCGCCAATTCGTTTTGGTACTAATGGACTATTTCTGCGTATACTGACAAATACAATTTTTAATAGAATTCGTAATTAAAAAGTATATATGTTAGTTTTAATAAAAGTATATGGATTTGTAAAACAAGTAAAACATTAATTTATTATTATTATATATTTTTATCGCTTAAATTAAATAAAATGATGTATAATCAATAAAAATCAATAATAAAATATAGGCAGGCAACAGTATTTACTGGAAAATGTATGAGAAGTTGCCTAAGTCTAATAAGTTGTCATTGAAGAATTAGCCTATTCTGTCAAAATAAAAAAATACCATTTACGTGAAGTTAAAATGTATAAAAAACGGATCGTTATTTATATTTTCATTTTTGTTCGAAAGAAAACATAGAATGAATGATTAAAACTGGTTTCCCATCAGTAAGTCATAAAATTGCATTCCAGCCACATATAATAATCAAAGGCAGAAATCTTGAAATCCAGTCCTTGCTGAATGAACATTTAAAAATAAAGGGATATTAAAGAACATCGTAAAATGATAATTTATTGTTTATTTAAAACCTTTCAAGTTTCTGATGTTTACTATTTCCAGCATTACTGTTATTATTACAAAAATAAAGGTAATTTTTCTTCTTATTGTACACCTATCTATTTATTTCTTTGATTTAATTTCCACTTTGCTACTGAAATTTTTTAGTCTCACTGTTTTTTTGCTAGTATTTGTACAATTTTCAACACAGCAATTCCGGTTGCTTATTGTATTGTTTTTACCTACTTTTTTGAAAAAAATTAAAATGTATACGTGTATTTGATATGCCAAAATTACAAAATATCGCCCTAAAATGCACGAATTATCCGCAGCTAGCGCTAGTATCGCTTTTGCTTTCCTCTCCATGACTTCGCACGGAGCGAATAGACAGCTTGGATGAGTAAAAATACCTCGCAATGCTTGCTACTCTCATCTGAACTATCGGCACAATCTTCTACACCATCACAAACGAAGTCGAATGGTATACATTCCTTGCCACTATCGCATTTCCATAAATCATCGGCACATTTTTCTTGAGGGGTTTTACAAATAACACCAGCTATTTCTTGATCTTTACAGTTGTGAATTCCCCAGCCCGGGAAATTGCAATCTAAAATAAAGATTTTTCCTCAATATTTTTTTACTATAGTATTTATATTCTAAGAAAAGTATTTATTTTATTCATTCCATAAGAAGTAAGTACTTGAATGTTTTGGGTCTAAGAAGTATTTACTCGAGTTTGATTAGTAAAAGCTTTTATCATTCATCTAACAACAGCAAAAATTTACTCAAAAATTCATAAATAAAAATTTCAAATTTGAAGTGGATAGACCAACCTCACTGACATACTATATTATTATTAAAAAGTCATAAAAAAAATTAAAATAGAAATATTTTATTACCTATAATTGTAGATTCATTTCCACGACAATTTAAATTATCAATCATGTAAAGTGTGTTGCTTTCCTTTAAATCCTTAGCGTATTGTGATTGGCCTTTTATTTCTGCTGCGCCTAGTTCAAATCCTAGTTCTTTGCATATTACATTGGCATCTGCTATTCCAAATTCATCATCACAGATGTATCCTGTACTACCAAATGCTTAAAAAATTGATAATAATTAGTCTTGTCATAGTCCATAGACTTCTTCATTAGTCATATCGCATAATATATTAAATAAATGATGCGATATAATCATCAGAATAAGAACAACAAAAAATATAGTATGACGCCCGCGAACGATTCAGTACTACTAATTCATGCTTTGGGCGCATGCCTAATTCATTATCAATTCCGAGTTTTTACTACGAATTCAACTAACTCAGAAGAGATTATTATCATCTTCAATAGCTAAGCAGCCATCAGAGCGCTCAGCCCTTATGTAATCAGCTCGAAAATGATCTGAAGATGCCTAGAAAAACTGAATGAGCTGTAAAAAAATAGGCGATGAAAATACCTACCAGAAATATTGTAAGGTCAATAAGGTCATAAATCAGTATTAGCCGATGACCTTCATTCTTGTTCGAGATGTAGATAAGCAATAAAATTGTGCATCCCTTAAAAGATTCCCAGGTCCGGATTAAAATATTTCATGAAATAGTATTTTGTTGTAAAGTATTTAAATAAAATATATTGTAAAGTAGATGTATTGTAAAATAGATGTTTTGTAAAGTACGTATATTGTATAGCAAATTGTAAAGTATGATATAAAGTATACAAGTATTGTAAATTATATTGTACAGTATATTGTAAAGTATAATATAAAGTATATTTTAAAGTATATTTTAAAGTATATTCTAAAGTATATTCTAAAGTATATCCTAAAGTATATTTTAAAGTATATTTTAAAGTATATTTTAAAGTATATTCTAAAGTATATTTTAAATTATATTGTATAAGTATAATATAAAGTATATTGTAAAGTACTTTTTAAACTATACTGTAAAGTAGGTATATTGTAAAGCGTATTGTAAAGCATATATAAAGTATATTGTAAATGATATTGTAAAGTATATCGTAAAGTATATTTTAAAGTAGGTATATTGTAAAGTGTATTGTAAAGCATATGTAAAGTATATTGTAAATGATATTGTAAAGTATATTGTGAAGTACCTATATTGTTAAGTTTATTTATTATAAAGTGTATTCTAAAGTATCTTGTAAAGTATAATATAAAGTATATTATAAAGTATATTGTAAAGTATACTGTAAATTATATTGTAAAGTATATTGTAAAGTATATTGTACAGTATTTTGTAAAGGTAAAGTTTATTATAAAGTATATTGTAAATATTAGCCTAATTACAAACTATGGAAAAGTTATAAAGATAATCTTAAGGAGATACAAGAAGCTTTTTGCATTGGGTAGAATTCTCTGTATACGAGACTCTCTTGGTAGGTGATTCTCAGTGCGACCGGAGAATCTGGATCTTCATCGTAAAAGGTTGAAAATCGGTTTTCGTTTTAAAATCGCCATTTTAAAGTTTAGGCAAGGGCTGTGAGATGTGTCCCAAATATTGGAGTTAGTAAGTGTATTTAACTTTAAATATTTTTTCCAATTACTTTTTGGACCTAGACCCTCTATTGGATTGACAACATCGGTAGTGACAAACCTAATTAAAGACCATTCCCTTGTGAAATTCAAGGAAAGATGAGATGAAACAAGAAGCTGCAGACTTGCCAGGGAGCTTTTAAAAGTTGAAATTGCTAGATAATTCAGAATTAATTAAACGATTAAAACTTTTATAAAGTATACATCCCCAAAGAGGATCCACTTGCACACGTTAATGATGGGATGATGGTCTGGTTTGTTTGGGTGCTAATTGATAAAACCTATAGATATTAATTCCCATAATATTTTTAAACATACAATTTATCTACCTGTTACTTCAATTCTTCCTTCATGTCTCTCTGAAGAACCAGCTAGCTTTATTTTGTAACCAAATTTTTGAGGATCGCAATGCTTTTCATCTTCTCTATCACCACAATCGTCGTATCCGTCGCACAAATATTCTTTGGTCAAACATTTTTTGTTTGAACATTGGAAATATTTGGATTTGTCGGAACAGTCGATGGTACCATCTTTCAGTTCATAGTAATCGCTCGATTTATGTTGTTGTAAAGATCCGGTCAGACCGATATTCTTGTCGGAGAGGAAACAAGTCCTGTCTGGTCTGCTGTAGGTAAACGATCTACAAGTGAACTTAGTATTTTGGATACAGAGTAAGGCGCACGTTGAGTGAGTTATGTTTATCCATCTTTGGTTTTCTACTACTACTAGCTTGGAATTTTTGGTAGTAGAGAATCGTTGAGTGTATTCTTGGCAATTTAGTTCATCTTTACCATCGTTGCAATCCTATAATAGTAAATGTTATATCGGGAACATTAAATGTATATTGGTTGATAAAAAAATAATTTGTAGACCTACCCTGTTACCATCACAGACCATTGTCAAGGAAATACATAGCTTTGGAGTACATCGGAAATCAGTATCCTCGCAAGTTTTTGATTTTCTTTCTTCGGCTATAATTACACTTTCAGCTTCTAAAGTAACTGGAGATCCATCATCATAAGTAAAGACGTAGTCAATATCATTTTCTTCAGCTTGATACGGTGGAGGCCCAGCACTTCGTGCGGTAGTTGCGTGGACTCTGTACTCATTGGGGTTATATACGTCATCATAGTCGTTAGTCTTTTGATTGGGTATTTTAACGTAACCATTATGACCTAAATCAATTTACAAACTATAAAATATTAATATGATGTTCCAGATGAGCTGGCAGACCTTATAAAACAGATACAACTGTATGCAAAAAAGACTGAATCGTACCTCTTGTGCTATCTGTAACTGTATCTCGATTGTCAGTTTGTTGACCCCAGTTATCTTCAGTCTGTTGACCCCAGTCATTAGCCTTTTGACCTGTTTTATGCGTATGTTGGCCATTATTATCCGTCTGTTGGCCTTTGTTGAGAGTATGTTGGTTCCAGTTATTATTCGGGGATTGTCCCTGGTTATTGTTAGTGTGTTTACCCCAGTCATTGTTGGTATGCTGATTCCAGTTATTGTTAGATTGTTGATTCCAGTTCTGATTATTCAATTTCGTAGTAGTTTCAATCCTACCTAAAATGTATTTGTTATATTTTATTTTAACGTATATGTTATCGATTCCTTACCATGCAGATTAGTTTCCTCACCATCTATTCCATTATTTTCATACTGGTTTTGCCAGTTATTATCAGAACCTGAATTGGTATTAGGGGCGGTTATTTCACATTTTACATTGTAAGGAAAATCACACATTCCCGTTTTGGTGTTAAATAGTGTACCAGCTGCGCAATCCATTACAAAAGTTTCTCCGCTACCACAAGACAAATATTTTTTGCAATCCGTAGGATGTTTGTGCATTCCAGCGGCTCCATTTGGACATATAGGTTGTGGATTTGTTACCTAAACAAATAGTGTTAACATTTGGATAATAATTTAGTTACAGTTCTCTAAGTATATACATCTGTGGTAAATATCGGCATTGCTATTATATAAGCCCTTGAATACTATATGACAAGTAAAAAGTGTCAACTCTCATATACCTTATTAATAAACTGGGCGATTTATAAATTTACTCCCCAAAATGTCAAAAAATAACGTATTTGAGTAAATAACTTTATTCACCCCATATAACATAAAATCCACAAAAAATGTTACTAAAGTAGGCCATGACCGACAAACATGTCGTGATAACTACAACTACATGTCTCTGAATTAAATTCAAACTGACAATTAAAAAAAAAAGAGAAGAATTGTACGTTTCGACATTTATTTGTTATTCATTATTTCTTCCATGGCCTACTTTAGAGACAATTTTTGTGGACCACTCCTTTTTGTATCTTACCCCTTTTGTTATAGTCGAAGCAGTCCATTGTGTTTGTTTACAGTTTTTATCATTTACATTGCAAATTTTTCCGTAATTGGGTTGTATTTGCGTTTGCTCAGAGTCTTCAGATTTTTGACCACGTCCACAATTTGGTTCTGAGAGATTACAAATAAATTTTCCGCCAGATTGTGGTTTATTTGACTGGATTACAGTAGATTGGTGGTAACTGTTTTGTTCAGTACCTGTATTACATTTTTGTAGAAAAGGATTACAATTGCTTACAAATTGTGAATTATCACCATTTTCTAGGTTGTTAGTCTGTGTATAAGTTGTATCGACAGTTTGACCGTATCCACTATTTAAATTTTGCCCAGAAGGTCCATTTGTATGCGTATAAGTAGTAGAAGTACTTTGTCCAACGTATTGATCGCAATTCTGAACTGCTGGATTGCAATTGTTTCTGTTTAATTCATGTTGACCTTGCCCATAGTAACCATTGTTGCCAGAATTTTGGTTTCGTATATAACTAGCACAATCGTGGACGGCTGGATTACAGTTATGCCTACCTAACTCACCATGTGCATTGCCCAAATACTCATTTTGTTGCGCAACATTTGGTTTCTGTCCAATAACTGTAGTATAGTAACCATTGTTTCCAGAATTTTGGTTTCGTATATAACTAGCACAATCGTGGATGGCTGGATTACAGTTATGCCTACCTAACTCACCATGTGCATTGCCTAAATACTCATTTTGTTGCCCAATATTTGGTTTTTGTCCAATTTCTGTAGTATAGTAATCATTGTTTCCAGAATTTTGATTTCGTATATAACTAGCACAGTCGTGGATGGCTGGATTACAGTTATGCCCAACATTTGGTTTCTCTCCAATTACTGTATTTCCATCAAAGCTGTCATCTGTATGTTGTCCAGTATTTTCTTGTTTAACTATGGTTTGTCCATAGCTATTTTGATTTCCGGTTGATTGTTGTCCTTGATACTGACAATTTTGAGTTCTAGGATCGCATTTCGGAGTAACAATTTGGGTGTAAATAATGTTAGGTTTTAGATTGTTTAGTTGTCCACAGTTTTGTGTTTGTGGATTACAACCATGAGTAGCTTGATGTTCATGAATTATAGTTTGACCTGTATGCAAATCATTACCGCTTACGGTGCTTTGGCCAGGACAATATTGAGTAAGAGGATTACATTTGTGAATTGTACTTTGATCAACATTTTGTGTTTGTTGGCAATTTTGAGTGGCTGGGTTACATCCAGAAGTATATGTTACTGTTTGTGATTGTCCGTAAGAACCCTGTCCCAATTTATTCGCATTTTGATTGAAATCCGTACTGTCATCAGTCGTTTGCCCACAGTCTTCAACAGATGGGTTACAAGAATGTTGAATTGTTTGTGTGTAAATGGTGGTTTGGCCTGTCCCTAAATTGTTTCCAGTTTGTCCATAGCCCGTTCCTTGAGATGTGTGTTGTCCATAATTTGATCCCTGTCCATGAAGTAATCCTTGTCCATAAGTTGATCCTTGGCCATGAGTTAATCCTTCCCCGCGAGTTGATTCTTGTCCATCAGTTGACCCTTGTCCGTACGTTAATCCTTGACCATAAATCGAACCTTCTTCGTAAGTTGTTGATCCTTGTCCATTAGCTTGTCTGCAATTTTTTGTTTGAGGATTACAAGATGTTTGGGTCTGAATAATATGGTGTTGACCATTGTATCCAGTAGTATGAGAGGAGTAGTCAGTCTGTTGATTGGCATACTGTGAACTCTGTCTACAGTTGTTGTGTTGACAGTTCTGTAAAAAGATTTTAACATAACAGGATAGGAACGGTTAAAAACAACAAAAGGACAGAAGTAGAGAAAATTGGATGATGCTGATAATGGCAAGTGTAGTTTATAATAAAAAAGTCAATTGGGGTTTTAAAAGTCAAGTTAACACAATTAATCATTTATAGTGCAATAACTATTATCTTAGGGATCCTAGATAAAAAGTGTAATTATACTTTGATTTCACCACGGCTTATATATGGTAAATTATAATGGAAAAATGTGATTATTTTGAATAACAGGCCTTTCTTGGATTCACTGAGCCACATCCTAATTATCGATACAAAAGATAAGTACAATTAAAGGAGTACCACAAGAATCGATATTGAGGCCACTGTATTATATCCTTTACACACAATTGTGTTGATAACACAACAATTGTGTTTCAATATAAGATTCAAGGTAAGGATGTATAAAAAAATGCTTCAAAAGAAACAAGAAAAAAACCTGGAATTAATTAAAAAAGATATTGACAGGCGAAGTGAAGAAAGATTTCAAGGAACTAGGAGTTAAGTAGTGAAATAAGAGGTACAAGAAAGAACGAGCAAACAAAGATCGTTGAAGAATATGCATGAAAAACAAAGGTTGCTTATATTTTATTATTTGATATTAAATACTTACTTCATAGTTATCTTGATTATTTGTATGGGGTTGCGTACGTACATCAATGGCATTTTCTCCATTGAAACATGAAGTTTTATGAGGATAATCGCACATATTTTTATTCATATCAAAAAGCGTTCCTGGTGCGCAGTCCATTTTGTTGGGTTGGCCATTATTGCAATTTATAAATTTAGAACAATCAAAGTAATCGGGAATAATTCCGGAAAAACCTTCTGGGCAAGATGCCTGTTCTACGGATTTTTCAACTCGTAAGCTTTGTAACGTGTTTGAACGGGGACCTAAAAATTATAGTAACAGTAGATTACATTCCGAGGTGGGATGTGCATCATTATTATCGAGGGCTAATATAGATGACCAAGGCGCTAGGAGGAATATTAATTTTGGCCAAGCAAATGACCCTATTTGGTATAAGGTACACCAGGGCAAGTAGAATTTCGGGGCAAGTGGAACCCATCTCTACAAAATCTGTTCTGCTCTATTTATTTGAGCGCCACCTATTGGAATCGACAGGCTCCACCCTCTTCGACCGTCGCGATATAGTGCAGTACAGTTCGACACTCGACTTTGGACAAGTTCCCGTGCAATTTTAATCTGTTACATCGAGTTTATACCCGCCGTGCAATATTATTTATATTTTGAGTCGTTCAAAAGTGCTGTTAGTTTATCTGGGTAAGTGATGTCCTATTGCACTGTTTTTTAATGTTTACTACCGCTACAAAATAAAAGATAGTCAGAACCGGAAAAGTTTGTTTGGGTTACACTTGCCCCGCAAAAAATACGCTTCGGGGTAAGTGGAACCTAATATGGGTTCCACTTGCCCCTTTGCCCCTTTTCAGTATTATTTCATTATTTGGCCATAAAATTGCAACTCTTACTTGCAGATGTTAACCCATCATGGTCCGAAACTATAAGCGCAAGACCTTACCACCATCCTATACAGAAGAAGATTTGAAAAATTCAATAGATTCCGTAAGATCGGGAATTTTAGGATTGTATAGATCTGCAACAGTTTATAAAGTTCCTAAAGCTACTCTATTTAAACGCGTGAAGGGACAGAGAGGTTTAGAAAGTCGTACATTGGGTAGATCACCAGCCCTTCCCCATGAAATTGAGCAAAACATTGCAAACTTTAGAAAAATGGGGCCTTGGTTTATCGAAAAAGGAAATCCTTTAGATTATTGGAGTTTATTTAAAAGAAAACAATTTAAAGACACACTTCAAAAATGGAATTCCTGGAAAGTCAAAAAAAGCCCCAAAGTGTTGAAGTGGCACGAAAGCGAAGCATGGACCCCTATATAATATCATATTACTTTGAACTTATAACAAAGGAGCTGGAAAATATTCCCCCCGCTCAAATCTATAATGTTGATGAGACCAGCTTCTGCCTCGATCCTTCTAGGGTGAAAGTAGTGGGTAAAAAGGGCACAGCTGCACATCGGGCAACTAGTGGCCCTGGAAGAGAATATAACTGTTCTGATGGGTGCAAATGCTGCTGGAGAAAAATTACCGCCACAGATTGTTTTTAAGGGTAAAAACCTCTGGGATTATTGGATACCTGCACAAGAAGATGAATTTCCGGGAATGACCTATGCAGCAACTGCAAACGGATGGATGGAGGCAGCCACGTTCCAGCAGTATTTCACCAACATTTTTCTGAAACATATTGGCTCAGAACGTCCTGTACTACTTATTTACGATGGCCACAGCTCCCATGTTGGCCTTTCACTTGTAGAGGCAGCAAAAGCAAACGGTGTGGTCATATTAGAGTTACCGCCACATTCTACAGCCTATGGATTTGAGTGTATTCAAACCACTGAAGTTAATGTGGGACGAAGAGCTCATCAAGTGGCAAAGAAAAAATTACGGTGTTAAACTCCCAAAGCGTACATTTGCCACAATTTTATCAAAAGTGTGGAACAATCTTGAGTCAACCATTATACAAAATGGATTTGCAAAAGCGGGAATCTACCCTTTTAACAATGACGTTGTCCCAAAAGAAAAATTTGAACCAGATGCCTTTAGAAGATGGTCTCTCTTCAAACAAAATACCTTGTCACTTGTATTGCAGAGGATGACACAGTGGATGCCCCTGTGGCACCTGGATCAACCGCTCTGGATGTTGTACCTCTGCAAAATATTTTAAATCCAGAAAAAATATCATTCGAGTCATTACTTTTACAACAGCTAAAGCAAGCTCCTGGAGTTCAGACAGGAAGGAAAAAAATATGTTCAGGGGCTGAGGTTATAACATCTTCAGAAGGAGTTGCAAAATTAAAAGAAATGAATGACAAACAGCAGAAAAAACAATTAAAAACCGAAGAGCAAAGAAGTTGTGATGATACGAGAAGATACACAACCTGTTGATGAACCAGAAGAAGAACTAAATGGTGAAGCAGAGGCCGCAGAACTAAGCGACGATAGTTTAATCAATTACAATATAGAAGACGAAGCAAGAGAAGTTGAGGAAGAAAATGATTTTATGACTGCGATTACGAAACATACGAAGTAAGTTGAAATCAGGGATTGGCTAATAGTGAAGTCTCCAAATTTTATGTAGCCCGAGTAACGGAAGCAAATCCTTGTATCGAAGCCAAATTTGCAAAAAAAAACTTAGAACCACAAATTATTTTCATTGGCCGGATGTTGAAGACAGGTCCATTATTACTTTAGATGAAGTGCACCTTCATCTACCCACACCGATGTTCTACAAACGGGGAAAGTTTCAATTTGACATATCTTTTACTACATATAACATTTGTTAGACAAAATATTAGGATGAATTTAAATTTGTTTCTACATGCCCCACACTTATTTCAGCCTACCCGAAAGTATTTCTTGCACACATTTACACTTGCCCCAAGCAACGGGGCAAGTGGAACCTAATGACATTTTTTTTATTTGAGCCCACGTATATTTTTAGCGAATTTCAGAATTTAGGCAAAATGTATGTACACACAGCAAACACCTTTACAAAACATCCCCTAAAATTTGGATGTGCCCGCCGATTATTATCCGAAGATATTGAGCGGACATTCCAAATTTAAAAAATATAGGTTCCACTTCCCCCGGTGTATCTTAATATTAGAAATACCTATGAGGTTCTCGGCTACGGGTGGAAACTGACATTTTAATTTGTTGCCACCCATGTGAATAAATCAAAACTCGTGATATTTTATTTTTCGACTTTTAAAAACTTTAGAACTGAATTATTACCTTAAATTAGACGTTATTTTGATTAAGGAACTTAATTTTTTTCGCCATTTTAAAAAATACCAGCTTTCTCCTCTGTTACCAAAATTTTAACTACGCACTTGAAACTTTTGAAACTCGGATCTTTGTATTAGGATAACAGAAGAGCAAGTGAGTATTGGGGAAAATGATTAAATCGTCGTATTTTATGCAAATTTTAACGGGAAAACAGGAATGCGAGAAGGTATTTTAAAAGAAATGGGAAAATCTTTGAAGAATATGATTGTGAAGAAAAACTATCACTTTCCATATTAGTAATGTAATGTAATACCTATAACCTACCTGATACACATTCTACTTTGTCGGGAAAGTCACATTCTAAAGTTTTTGGATTGAAAAGGGTTCCTGGCGCGCAGTTCTGCACAGTGCCTCTACCTTTCCAGCAATTTAAGAATTGGTTACAGGATAGTGAGTAAATAAATTGCCCAGTTGCTCCTGGAGGACATTTTTTATAAATTTCCAAAGTCTTTGTTTCGATTTTTCTCTTTATAATTGTTCGGTTTGGTTGTGTTGTAGAAAATCCTATGAGTCCTGCATTGATTTCTATAAAATAAATATTTTGAATTACATCTTACATAATATTTAATTAGAGACTTAGAAATGGAAAAAACAAATGTATACAAAGGCTAACTCAAAGCAAAGATTCTTAGTGGCTTTAGATTTGTGTATACTAATTTTAACTAAATGCATATTGTGATATTAATTTGGTTACGTGAGATACGGTATCGTTGAAGACTCTATATTAAAAGTAAGGCAATGATCCTTGCAAAGGATACGGATGAAAGATGTTCGATATTTTTTAAATGAAGTGTTTAGAGAGAAACGTGAAAAAAACAAACACAGTTGGCTGTGTACATCCTGTGTGATCCTGTCAATAAGGAAAAAGTAAAAGAAGCATTGGATAAAATGAAAAAGGGTAAATCCAAAGGGCCTTGGTGGAATTCCTGTAGATGCCTGGAAAATTGAAGCAATAATGGTATTTAATTGCATTGATTTGTTGAGCTGTTTAATAAAAACTTTGATTAAAATGGTGGATGGGTAAAGTAGAGCAGTACTCTTATTCCATTATAAATAAGGATGTATCTGAAGGAATAAAGTTACCGAGTCATGCGAAGCTGCGGAAGAGAATAATTGAGAGGAAAATAAGAACGGAACCAAATATTTCGTATAGTCAGTTTGAAAAGTTACGGAAAACGATAAACAGGGACGAAGGTATGGTGTTTATTTATCAGCAAAATGCATGAAAAATGATGATTATGATGACGACGATAATACGTTATTTAGTCAGATACCAACTAAGTATGTACTTACCTTTATGAGATTGGGTTTGTAAAATGTTATCGTGTTGTTGAGGTCTTTGGCCATAAGTATGAGCGTTATTTACATATACAGGATAAACATGTTGAACCTCTTGTGCCTGAGTTATGACATATTGAGCCGCAGGCGAATCCGGTCTATTGTGTAAAATAACTTTACTGTAGTTTTGAAGAGTATTCGGGTTCCATTGTTTTCTAGAAGTGGTTTTTATACCTGCAGTGTACGCAGGACGCGATTCTTCTTGAATTGGTATGTATATCTAAAATGTTTAGCCAATCAAAAATTGTTAAAAATAACCACAATAGATAATAAAATGTCTTTTATTTCCAATTAATTGAATGTAGGTAAAAACATTAAAATTCATAAATTTTGGTTGTTATACTAAACATAACAAACATTTTATAAATTGAGTACAAATTTATTTAAATATGAAATGTATGCCTATTTCGATTTTCGTATTGTTTGGAGTACCACACGGAACCCATCGAATTTGTAAATGAATGGGAACTGGGTACCTTCTTTTCGCAGATGACTATTTGGTACAATCGGTACACAAAATCATTGTTATAAGTTTCAAACTGACTTGGGTACTTTTAGTAATTGGATAAGGCATTAAAATTAGTGCATTCCGTATAATTAAAAATATGATTAAAATATTTCCACATTAAATGGAAACACTACTGCAAGAGTAACTAGCATTAGGTAAAGATCTATTAGTAATGTAGTCATTTTTATATTTTCTAGTTGCGTTTATAGTATTTTGTAAAAAAATAAACAGACTGTCTAACAGGGGACCAGCATCAAAACTAGAATCCATGTAATCGGCTCATAAGGGTTTCCATCCCCCAAAAAAGGCCCGTAGACCATCTTCAACTGACAATCTCACGGTTACTCTCTTTTAAGACCAAGCGGGAATTATTCTTGTTGAATACATATATATATATATATATATATATATATATATATATATATATATATATATATATATATATATATATATATATATATATACTAATCAGGATTCATTCAGGAAATAATAAGATGGGGACGATTCTACTGAAGAAAACTCCGGTACATCACTAAGATTAGATTTGGTTAGATTTCATTAGGATTGTTGGTCATGTGGCCTCCTCTACCTTGACAATTTCAGATCTGTGGAAATCCTTTAATCGTTAGTTGAGTAACTTGCCTAATTTCGTCTTTTGTAGTAAACTCCATAGACTAGGAAATAGTTCTGCCGCATAGGTAGTTGCCCTTGGTTTTTCCTCTCCAAGTGTAAGGAATATCGGTCTTGATAGACCTTCGCAATAGTATAATATGTGTTCTGTAGTTTCTTCCTCTTCCTGTCAGAATCGGCACATCGATGTTATACACATGATTGACAAGCCTACAATATCCTATTGATAGGCATAACTAGTATTGTAGCTTACTAGATGATCGGTGAGTTTTGGCGATGGTCCTTCTGGCATGTCTCTGTCCTAATTAATTGGTCCACCGTTCCTGAGATTGTTTTTAACAACCACTACTTTGTGCATGTTCTGACAACACAAAAGGGTTCTGGTCCAATAAGAGCCTTTATGGCTCTTTATTTATGTTTTTTGTAGCCTGTTTTCACCACCCAGCTCTTCCACACAAGCTTTGAGTGTACCTGCATGGTACTGAGTGCTTTTGATGACGTTTGACTTGAGTATATGACAGAGGATTTTCTATTTACCTTATGTCAATAGTGATATATTGCTGCTATTTCTAGAATACTGTCGCATATTTACCTAAGGTCAGTGAGATCTAGTCATTGGTTTGGTACTATATACAGGATGTACCAATAAAACTCCCAGGCCAGATATTTTGGCAAGAAATAGAGATATTTTAATTTTATAAAAACCAGTTCACATAGCACTAATAGAGATTCAGTTTTAGATATAAATTGATTTTAAATAGGTCAATATGTACATGGCGCTGCGCTCAATAATTTTTTTTTCGATGGGGTATCTTTCTTGTAAAAAATGCATTTTTAAGCAGATTTTTTTATAGTGGGTCACTCAAAACAGTTTCATTCTATTTTTCGGCATTAATCATTGGATTTTAAGAAAATGCTAAAATAGGTCCCTTTTTATTCAAAATTTAACACATTTTTACAATATAGACATCTGTCATGTGTCAATCCCCTCCCTTGCACTTCTCCAACACCCTTAATTTTAAATAGGTAATGTACCATGTATGGCACATCATTAAAAAGGTAATTTAATGGGGGATTCAGAAATGTGTCTGTATATTGCGTTACTTAAATTTAGCGCCCTCTAGCGGGCTAAGAAACTATTACATTTTATAAAGTGAAACAGTACCATGGTAGTACATCATTAAAATGCTAATTTTTTGGGGAATTCAGAAATATGACTGCTTATTGTGATACTTTTAATTGTACCGCCCTCTATCGGGATAAAAAACTGTAACGTATTATAAAGTGTGACACTTTATTTGAAAGCAAATTTTATTATAATTCAATGCATAACATAACAATAATATAAATATCCTCAATATTGCACTTTGAATCATTTGAAAATTAGTTATGCATTATTTTAAACATTATTGCTAACTTAATTTTGTTGCAAGTGCAATATAAAAATATTTATATTAATGTTATGTGGTGCATTGAATTAGTAATTTAAAAGTATCGCAATAAACAGTCACATTTCTGACTTCCGCATAAAATTACCTTTTCAATGATGTGCCGCACTTGGTACATTACTTATTTAAAATTAAGGGGTTGCAGAAGTGGAAGGGAGGGGCTTGACACATGACAGATGTCTGTATTGTACAAATGTGTTCAATTTGGAATAAAACTCGACCTGTTTTACCATTTTTTAAAAATGTAATGAACATGCCAAATAACAGGGTAAAACTGTTTTGAGTGGCCCACTCTCTATATTAAAAATGGCTAGATTTATCGAATTAGTTCATTGAACACAATCTGCTTAAAAATATATTTTTCGCAAGATGCGCTAGATAAGAAAGATCCTCCTATCGAAAAAAAAAAAAATATTGAGCGCAGCGCCATCTACATATTGACCTATTTAAAATTAATTTATATCTAAAACTGAAGCTCTCTTAGTGCTCTATGAACTGGTTTTTACAGAATTAAAATATCTCTATTATTTACCAAAATATCCGGCGTGGGAGTTTTTATTGGTACACCCTGTATACCTACTCCTGAACCTTCATGGGTTTTGTAATTGTCTATATACCAGGTGACTTATTCGTGAATAGGTCCTCCCGTTCACGCTTCCTTGTCTGGTATACTAACTTTATATTGCTTTTGAAAGCTATATTTTGGAAGAATTTCGTCTGAAGACATTTCCATTATTTGATCGTTCTCCAATCTTTGTATAGTTCGCTGTAGTTACGTTCATGTAAATTGGGAAATAGACCTTTGTGCAGTCTGTATGTGACGCACCTGGCTTCTCCTTAAATGCTTATGTGTAATGGTGTTAGATTTAGCATGAACTCTAGGGCTATTGGTGTCGTTTTCATGATTCCTGTGGCAGCCTTTGAATACCGTTAGGTGTCGAACTGCTTCAGCTTGCCGAGTCTTTGGCCACCATACCATCGATCCGTAAGTTATCATAGAGCTTACGACTCTAGGATATATGGGCATTTTTGGTTGTAGTCCCCTCAATCTTCGACATAAGTTAAAAGATGGTTTGCTGTATTGAATCACTTTTTCCAAGTGTTGAGTCTACCTTAACTTAATAATTTAATGTCTATTAATATTCTAATTGATTTTACTAACACTGTTTTTTTATTGTCCCTTTATATTATATTCTACAGTTAAATTGTTTAAAATTCAATTATGTGAATCTCAAACATTTCCTTTTATAAATGTATACTTTTTAATTTAATTTTTATACATCTATTTTTCATGATAAATGAACTACTGCATTCACGCACAAGCCTGCTTTTGTGAATGTACACTCTACTTGCCATGAATATATGGATGTCTACTTATTTACGTATCTCGTTTTTTATATACATGTATTTTTTCTAAATCTAAATTGTAATTTTAATTGAGGCAAATAAAGATTATAAAGAAAAAAAGATTTGACCTCTTGGGCAGACCGAATATCCACTTCTTTCAGTACTGGTGACGTTAGTCCTGTCAATACCTTTTGTTTTATGAAGTTGACTATTGTGGTTTTGTGGAAGAGAGGATCAAAGTAGAAAAGAAGACGAGCCGGAAGGAATCCAAGTGGCAGCAAATAAGGACAAACATGTCAATCTCATAGAACGCTGGATGGAGCGGAAATGGGGACAGACCAACTTCTTTCTGACGCAAATTATGACAAGTCACGGTAACTTCCAAGAATACCTGCATAGGTTTGGACTAAGTCAAACATATGAATGCCAGTACAGTGGTTTTAACGATACGGTAGAGCATACGTTCTTCGAATGCTATAGGTGGGATACCGAGAGAGATACAGTCCAAGAAAGGATAGGACAACTGACTTTCGAAATTCAAAAAATATTGGAAAACAAAGAAAATTGGAACACTGGCCGTATGCATTATGTCCGCAAAAAGAATACCTATATAAAAGAAACGGAAAAAACCGAAGAATGAATGAAACGCCCAATAACTTTTATTGGTAGTAATCTTTCTACATTAAGTAGTTTTTAGTGGTAACAATCCGACACTGTCTAGTCATTGGGCGGCCAGACGTCTTTTTGGAAGATTTTCCACTCCAGACTCTGCCTCCTTTAGCCATCACTATAGCTTCTTCTAGAGATGCTCTTATTACCCGTTCTTCTAGGCTGGCTTTTATCCACTGACACAGGACTACTGGTACGCCTGTCGTTACTAATGCGTTAATTATAGATCTTATATGGGCATTATTAAGAGCTCACTCAATATTTATGAAAGTTGCTAGTGGTATTTCTGCATTTCACTTAAGTCATTTGGTAATTTTATTATTTATTTATTATCTCAGGTTGATGCAGAAGTGGTTATACATGTGTGTTGGGGTGTTCTTCTAATATTTGATGATGTTTTTACCTCCTTCTAATATTTCTTTCAGTGAATCTCACACTAATACCATTGAGAAGTATGTGAGGATTTTAATCACGATTTTTGTAGGAGAACTATGTTTGACGTATTGTTACATCCTAATATTGATGAAAAAATGTCTGCTTTGCGTCACAAAGATGCTCTTTTCTTTACATGAACGAGTTCACAAAGCAGCCAAAGCCAATCCGCCATGAGTTTAAATTATTCTGGGCCATCCGCCGTAAAGTCCGGATTTTGCTCCGCCTGATTTCCTTTTATTTAGAAATTTGAAAAAGGACCTATGACGATACGAGTTTTAAAAAGAATAATTTTTTAAATCTTTGAAAGTATAATTTATTGACAATCTAGGTTATGTACTATTGTTGTAGCGCGTCTGAATATACACGTCAGATGCATCTGAGATGTTTTATCACGTGATAAAGGATTAGATCTGAATGTAGATGTAATAAACAAACGCTCTAGGCTTTATTAGTCACGTGATAAAATGCCAATGACAATTTAGAAGCTTATATTTTTTAAATTTGACTTTTGAGACAAGAAATCAACCTAAATTTGAAATCTAAACAAAAATTAAACACATCACTTTTATATTCACGCTAGCATAAACATGGAACGAACGTTTCATTCACATCTCATTTCAAATTGAGATGTAAAAAATGTAATCTGGACAGCTACATCTGGGATAAACAAAGGCAGATGTAGATGTAGTAGGTGTGTCCGATGTGGATAAACAAACGCTCGAGATGTAAAAAATGCATCCGATGTGGATTTTCAAAAGCGGCAATAGTCAAAGCACAATTCATTTGGTTAATTAGTGATAGTATGTTGTGTATTTTCCAAAAAATTGAACCGTTTTACTAAAGAGCTCTAATAAAATATTTGCAGAAAAAAAGACATGACGTCAATGATATCATATCAACATTAAGTGAGTCTACTCTATCATGTGATGTAGTGAATTCAAGCGTGCAAGAGCTACATGTGAGAACCAGTGGAGGCTCGTGGACACTAGCGGCAGTGGGGCACACACTGGAAAGGAATCCCGGGATTCCCTTAGGAAAACAAGTTCTCCGCTTAATGAAAATTAAATATATTTCAAAACAATCAGTTGGGGCAATAACGATTTTTGAATATGACCACAGGGAGCTAAATGGGACCACTTAAAATGCATTTAACTATGTATGTGGCTATTTAATCAAAAAATCATTACATATCCACTTTTGCGAAATTTGCGTAAATTTCTCAGAAGAATGCAATTTACTTAACAATTCTAACTTGTTTTGTCGTTCAGAAGTGTACTTAGGTAAGGTGTTGAGTCGTGCGTATAATTTCGTTGATTGTATAATTTCGTGGAGCCTATAATTTCGTAGATTTTGTTTGAGTTAAAGGTACTGTTATTATTTTGGTGACTCTTTAGCTGTGAGTAGAATGAATGAAAAAAAAGACATCATTCTGTTTGTGCAGTCAAAAGCTGTTTTAATAAGGGTTATACCTGCAAGAAAACATTCTTCAGTTTTCCCAAGGACCCAAACCGATAAGTACCACATTATAAGAAATTTTCATTGTTAAAAATATAATTTATACAGGGTGTCCCATTAGTGCGTTATTGTTCATTATTTTGTTGTAGACACGCAAAAAAGTTTTAAATAAAAGTTATATGGATTTGAAAAATACCTACATATTTTAAAAATATCTTTGGATATACAGGGTGTCACGTTTTTGCCTGGCAAATTAAAATGTATGTTCTTTAAATGGAGCACCTTGTATTTTATTTTATGATGAAATTATTAACACCCTAAATTATTGTAAAGACGAGTTGCTACAGAAAAAATTTAACAGGTATGTGTGTGGTTACCTTTTAATAAAAGCCTTGCGGATCCACTCCTGTGATACCTGTCTTAAATATAACAAAGATCACGTTGAATTAGATGATTTTTCTTTTTATTATTTTATTATGATGAATTTGTAGAACTAATATTCAATATTGAAAAGATATTTCAAAATAATTTTGAAAAATTGGCTACAAAAAATAACATTTGTACCACACTTTTATAGAATTAATTAACCCAATACCCTTTAGTCATCCATGCTAACGTTTTCCAAAAGAATAACCTATTTTAATGTATGTTTAATCTCAATAACTAAAAAATATACTGACAATTAGTTTGACAGAATTGTCATTTATTTAAAATTTTAAAAATAATAGCAGTCGGTTGATCAAAATATGAACGGTGATTGGAGAATTTTTTTTTGCAGTGTTCTCACTACCTAGAATGGATATGAAATATATTCGTTCAATTGAAGGCAATAGAATACTTCTTCGTTTTGTAATCTGTGCATGGATATTAGCCAATCTATGCACATGCTACAAAACAAAAAAGTATGCTATTGCGTTCAACTACAAATATATTTCATATCCATTTTAGGTAGTGAGAACACTTTAACAAAATTAAATCTACATATCACGTTCATATTTTGGTCACCCAACTCCTATTATTTAAAAATTTTTAAATAAGTGACAATTCTGTTAAACTAATTGTCAATATATATTTTAGTTATTGATATTAAATATACATTAAAATTTTTGTGTAGACTCGATAAATAATAGCATTTTTGTTTTTATTGTGTCAACATTTAAAAAAAAAATTTAATCAAACTACACGATACTAATTTAATTACGAGTATTAAAATTAAAGTCCTGAAAGTTTCGGTGAAGATGAGGACAGAGCATCTGCCTTCCACGCGAAAAGCCCGGGATCGAATCTAGGCCGAGGACTAATTAATTTTTCATGTTTATTTTATTTTATAAATTAGTCAACTTCGTAAATTATTTTAAAATTAGTTATTTTGTCTAAATAACCTAAAATATTTTTTTAAATTTGTAGATTTTCGTTAGTGGGTCGTAGAAAAAATATACTGACCATATCGAGTGGATTGTTCATATCACAATCAGACGATTGAGTACTCCTCCTACGACGTCGTGCTCAAACTTCGTCTTTGTGTGATATGGCTATCATATCCACCCTTGTTGAACTAACTACTATTCATTTGTTTTCTTGGTTTAAGTTTTACATCAGAAATAGGAACTAAATTAATTTACTTTTCAAGTTTTCTTGTAAAAATCGATATTACTTTCTCCAAGTACAAATTTAGTACCTACCTAAAATAAGTACTACTTATGTAATTTCGTGTAATATTGTAATTCAAATTTCACATTACTATAAAGTTTCAAAATTCCCTACTTCGGTATGGTCAGATAAAAATTGAATATATTACGAGTATATTAATAAAAACTGTCAAAGTATTACTTCTACAAATCTGTATTTCAATTAATAAGAATACATCTAAATATAACCAATATTGTTAAAATAAAAGCACAAATTCTTTATAATTCCAAAATACCATAGAGTTCCCAGACCTTAGTCGAAGCATTCGTTTATCTAGGTATAAACCCTTTGCGCGAAGAGTAACACTTGCCAGACACACGGGTTACCACTTGATTTGCATCCACGAGCGTGACAAAATTCTTTAACAATTGAAGCCCTTGGTGTAAAAAGGATCCAAGCCACAATTTGTCGTGAAGTGACTGTTTTAGCTCAAAACATTTGTTAACGAGGATTTTACTAGCCACATACAAATTATTTTACCTCTAAAAGATGTGCTATTTTTCGTAATATTTATATTTAAATAATTTTTTTAATTATATTTGAAAGATTTAAAACAAATTAAAAATGTAATTTCCCAAAACTTACTTAATATGGCATGTAACCAACCTTATTACACCAAGGTTTTCAATTTTTTCAATAATAAAAAATTGTTTAATCCGGGCCCGACTTTTCCCTCGAATCTAACAGAGATAGCACCATTCCGTCTTGCTCGGTTCTCGACCGCCAGATCAAAGACGCCGACACGGAGTTGTGGAGCTGTATTGTATAAGCTGTGGTTTTATTTCTTAACTATTCCAATGGTCCAACTAACGTTTTTTCGTAATCACAATAAATAAATTATTATCATGGTCTAACAAACGCGCACCTTAAGCTGAAACCAGCATCGCCTTTGTGAGGGAGCCGGTAAAGATGCCTCTGCGTACATTCATATCTGGTCTAGGACAGCGCCCCGCCTATGACGTATAATCCATCGCATGTGTTCATCTCTTGCTAAGCGATATTGTCGTTGTCTTTGTTTTTCGCATCATAATGAGAGAGAAAACAACAGAGGCACACATTTACTGTGCCCTGTGCCCATCTTATTTCGGAATTCTCGGAACGTCACTCAACGCCCGGTCGTCCAGTGTCGTGCCAACGCGGTTTGCGCTGAATATTAAATAAAATAATAATAGGCATTGAGGAATATATAAAATATGTAAGTTATTTTTTTTTTTTGTTTATTATACTAGGGCACGTGTCCAAGTGCCCTTACGGGCAAACCGCCACTGGTGAGAACCTTTATACTGAAGGACTGCCAATCACAGTGACTACAGATTAAATCATAAAAAAGTTTAATGGTTTAATACTTGACGACCGAGTGACCGATATGTTCGATGACACTGGCTTATCATACAGTTCACATCATTTTCTCAAAATAATTCGATATAAAATAGTTGAGGGCAAGATGGGTCCTACGAATCGAGTGAGCGCCTTTTGAAAATGATTACCGACATAACAAGAAGAAATTGTCTAATAAATCAAAATTGCAGGTTGATTGTAGCTTTCAGAGTTATCTTGTCGGCAGACATACATACAGATATTAAAAAATGGGGAGAAGAAAATTTTCTTGTCTGGAGTCCCATTGATAGGGCGCTCAGCAATTAAGAGGCAATTTTTATTTAAAATATGTGAAAGTTGGAACTTGTTTTTGTTTATAAAATACAGGAATCGATGAAATTCAACCTTTTCATTGACCTACTCCTAATAAATGTACACACACTTACCCCTGTACATAGTTGAAAACTGAAAAACAAACAAGTTACTACGGAAAAAATAGTACAACCTTTGTCACGCATCTTGTAATGAAGATTAACTCATAGACTTCATTGTAAATGGGTTTATTTATTATTTAAAAAATAGCCTTATCAAATCAGAGTATGAGGGGTCAAGAAATAAGGTGGTCAAAACGAGATTATTTTTTTCTTCTTATAAACAGTATTGTATCAAAATATTTGTTATTTGCAAATTCGTTTAAGACATTATTTAAATACAATTTAACGAGAATACATTAGAAAGCTATTTATTTTTGGAAATTTTATTGGATTGATAATTTCTCATAATCGTATCATCATTCATAAACGATTTCAATAGAAACTATTTCAATTAATTTGTGACTTTGTAATTATTATACTTTGATTTAATTAACGATAATTATTTCCGTTTACTTCAACACAAATAGAAAACATCTATCAATAAAAGTTATAGATAATAATAATAATTAGATCCATGATTTAATTTTTAAAATAGGACATTTGACTTTTAGAAACTTCGCTAAAAACTGGTTGTTGTTGTTGTTATGTATTTGCAAGATCAAACTTGAGTACGCTTCTGTATTTTGATGTCTAGGTTAGAATGTGTACTCGTACTTTATTCCGAACCGTTATCAAAATAGTACAAAATAGCGGAAATAACAGAATATTTAAGTGTAGTCGATATATTTTATTAAATAAAATGTATTTAAAATAACAGCAATAATCGATTTTTTTATTTTTCATATATTTTCCAAAATAAAAAAAATATTGCTTTTATCGGGAATTGAACCCGGGTCACGAAGCTAAAGTTGAGCGCTTATCGACCTGAGCCATGAAGGCTTAAGTTAAGTTACTTATTTAATCAAAAATAAGTCATTAGCATGTTCTACAACGGCTTTTTTAAGACACAGTCATCGAGCGCTACACTGTTGATGTGTCTGCAGTAAATTATTTCCGTCTATCACAAAGCAAGAATGAACGATAAATTTGTAATTTGATCTTGCGCATATGTATACCAAAAACATGACACCGGTTCCCCTACTATTAATAGCTCATATAAAGTAAGTTTAAATTAATAAATAAAACCGTTATACAGAAAACGCAGTATGATAAATGTGTTCGTGGAGCTGCTCAACTCGCTTCGTCCTTTTTTCAATCTTTTCCACTCACAAAATAAACCTCATTTGTAACACTTGCATCATAAATAACTAGTTTACATCTTTAACGTACAATATCTTTTGAACGTTCTAGCACAGCTTATACAATACAGCTCCACAACTCCGTGTCGGCGTCTTTGATCTGGCGGTCGAGAACCAAGCAAGACGGAATGGTGCTATCTCTGTTAGATTCAAGGGAAAAGTCGGGCCCGGATTAAACAATTTTTTTATTATTGAAAAAATTGAAAACCTTGGCGTAATAAGGTTGGTCACATGCCATATTAAGTAAGTTTTGGGAAATTACATTTTTAATTTGTTTTAAATCTTTCAAATATAATTAAAAAAATTATTTAAATATAAATATTACGAAAAATAGCACATCTTTCGGATTAGAGGTAAAATAATTTATATATGGCTAGTAAAATCCTCGTTAACAAATGTTTTGAGCTAAAACAGTCACTTCACGACAAATTGTGGCTTGGATCCATTTTACACCAAGGGCTTCAATTGTTAAAGAATTGTGTCACGCTCGTGGATGCAAATCAAGTGGTACCCCCACAAAGCATGTATCTTCTAGAGACCCCACGCCAATGTTAAACTTTTAAACCAAATTAGCGACACCTTGTGTTTGGAGCTGGAACTAAAATGACAATTGACAGATGGCGGTAAATTCAAATTGTAATTTTTAGGAGTAGGTAGTAGTTTTAAATTAAATTTTAAATGATTTCCACATAAATTATTTTATAAAATAAAGTATGGAACTAGTAAGTTCGAAACTTTTATTTTACAAAATAATTTAGGTCGATTATACCAAATTTGAAGAATTAATTTGTTATAAGGGGTCTAATGTGGAGAGTTGGTTCTGCATATTTTTATTAAATAAATATAAGATATATCAATAAATAATAAAATAGAACATTCTTAAAATATGTTTATTAATAACTTAAATAAATATTATTAGATAAAAATAAATACAAATAATAATACATATTTAACGAATACTTACTTGGAGCAAATAGATATATAATCTCAAATCTTTAAAATAGGTACCTATCAATAATTTAAATGTGAAGTAGAGAGGATATTACATTTTATTAACACTAAAGTTATATATTTTATAAATGTCTTTTTAACTGAGGACAAATGTAATATAGGTATTGTATTAAAAGGTGAATCCTTTTAACTATTCATTCAATGATAAATAGGTATTTTCCTTCCAAATACAGATGGTGGTATTACTCTCTTATGTGAAAAATGATTTCGGAATCTAGTCCAGTGATAAATTGATTATCAATTAGTTGTTGTCCCCGTTTGTCTTTTTATGATGCAGATGCATGGTGAATCAATGAAGTTTTTCTCGAAGTTTTCAACGTAGCACCAAAATTATTGCAAAACACAGTAGGAAATAAAAAAGCGAAACATCACAATTTTGCAAATAACTAAGACGAAACTATAAACAGAAACCAAAAGCCAAAGCCAACAAAAAATCACTAAAATCAGACGGAAAAATGAAACTAACCAAGAACATAAATAAATACACGTCACATGCGTCACATCGTTGGAGTCTTTGGTTAAGTTTTTCTCCCATAAGGCTTAAAAATGGAGTAAGAAATCATAATTTCACCAGTAGCACCATCTAGAGTTTGGAGCAAATAGCATAAAAAATGTCAGTTGTCGGTTTTGACCTTGGTCATTCACGTGGAACCTCTATGTGCTTTGTGGGTACCCCCGTGTCTCTGGCAAGTGTTACTCTTCGCGCAAAGGGTTTATACCTAGATAAACGAATGCTTCGACTGAGGTCTGGGAACTCTATGGTATTTTGGAATTATAAAGAATGTGTGCTTTTGTTTTAACAATATTGGTTATATTTAGATGTATTCTTATTATTTGAAATACAGATTTGTAGAAGTTATACTTTGACAGTTTTTATTAATATAATATATTCAATTTTTATCTGACCATACCGAAGTAGGAAATTTTAAAACTTTATAGTAATGTGAAATTTGAATTACAATATTACAAGATATAACATAATTAGTACTTATTTTAGGTAGGTACTAAATTTGTACTTGGAGAAAGTAATATCGATTTTTACAAGAAAACTTGAAAAGTAAATTAATTTAATTCCTATTTCTGATGTAAAACTTAAACCAAGAAAACAAATAAATTGTAGTTTGTTCAACAAGGGTGGATATGATAGCCATATCACACAAAGATGAAGTTTGAGCACGACGTCGTAGGCGGAGAACTCAATCGTCTGATTGTGATATGAACAATCTACTCGATATGGTCAGTATATTTTTTCTACGACCCACTAACGAAAATCTACAAATTTAAAAAATTATTTTAGGTTATTTAAACAAAATAACTAATTTTAAAATAATTTACGAAGTTGAATAATTTATAAAATAAAATAAACATGAAAAATTAATTAGTCCTCGGCCTAGATTCGATCCCGGACTTTTCGCGTGGAAGGCAGATGCTCTGTCTTCATCTTCACCGAAACTTTCAGGACTTTAGTTTTAATACTCGTAATTAAATTAATATCATGTAGTTTAATTAAAATTTATTTTTTTTTAAATGTGGACACAATAGAAACAAAAATGCTATTATTTATCGAGTCTGCACAAAAATTTTAATCTATATTTAATATCAATAACTAAAATATATATTGACAATTAGTTTAACAGAATTGTCACTTATTTAAAAAATTTTAAATAATAGGAGTTGGGTGACCAAAATATGAACTGTGATTTGTAGATTTAATTTTGTTAAAGTGTTCTTACTACCTAAAATGGATATGAAATATATTCGTAGTTGAACACAATAACATACTTTTTCGTTTTGTAGTATGTGCGTAGATTGGCTAATATCCATGCACAGATTACAAAACGAAAAAGTATGCTATTGCCTTCAATTGAACGAATATATTTCATATCCATTCTAGGTAGTGAGTGTTCTCAAAAAAAATAAATTCGCCAATCACCGTTCATATTTTGATCAACCGACTGCTATTATTTTTAAAATTTTAAATAAATGACAATTCTGTCAAACTAATTGTCAGTATATTTTTTAGTTATTGAGATTAAACATACAATAAAATAAGTTATTCTTTTGGAAAACGTTAGCATGGATGACTAAAGGGTATTGGGTTAAATAATTCTAAAAGTGTGGCACAAATGTTATTTTTTGTAGCCAATTATTCAAAATTATTTTGAAATATCTTTTCAATATTGAATATTAGTTCTACAAATTCATCATTTGACAGTTGCAGATTTCCAAATGTATCTGAATTGGCGTTATCATATGCCTTTAAAAAGCAATAAAAAGAAAAATCATCTATTTCAACGTGATCTTTGTTATATTTAAGACAGGTATCGCAGGAGTGGATCCGCAAGGCTTTTATTAAAAGGTAACCACACACATACCTGATAAAAATTTTCTGTAGCAATTCGTCTTTACAATAATTTAGGGTGTTAATAATTTCATCATAAAATAAAATACAAGGTGTTCCATTTAAAAAACATACATTTTAATTTGCCAGGCAAAAACGTGACACCCTGTATATCCAAAGATATTTTTAAAATATGTAGGTATTTTTCAAATCCATACAACTTTTATTTAAAACTTTCTTGCGTGTCTACAACAAAATAATGAACAATAACGCACTAATGGGACACCCTGTATAAATTATATTTTTAACAATGAAAATTTCTTATAATGTGGTACTTATCGGTTTGGGTCCTTGGGAAAACTAAAGAATGTTTTCTTGCAGGTATAACCCTTATTAAAACAGCTTTTGACTGCACAAACAGAATGATGTCTTTTTTTTCATTCATTCTACTCACAGCTAAAGAGTCACCAAAATAATAACAGTACCTTTAACTCAAACAAAATCTACGAAATTATAGGCTCCACGAAATTATACA